ATAGGCTTTGTGCTGCTGTGTGCTCCTCTGCCCGGTGCCACCAGAAACGCGCCACGGCCGCCCTCGCCTACCTTGAAGCAGTGGGTTTTCTGCTCGCCGTCCCAGATGGTGCGAGGCAGGGGGAACTTCTTGCGGATGCGGTACTTCTCCACGGGCCCCAGGGGGCGCCCCCGCAGGCGCTCGGCCTCGCGGTAGTGCGCGTCCAGCCACAGCGCCTGCAGCCGGGCGTGGGACTGGCGGGTGAAGCGGTGCGTCTGCAGGATGCGGTACAGCGCCTCGAAGTTCCCGCCGTGGAACGCGACCAGGGCGCGGGCCCGCACCACGGACTCGTGCCGGCTCAGCGCCTCGCCCGCCGAGCCCGGCACGGCGGCCGGCAGGGACCACAGGAAGCGGGCCAGGCGCTCGATGTCTCCCGTCTCCTCCAGGTTCTCGCACACCCGGGCGACCTGCTCCGGCGTGAACATGGGCAGGGGGAACATTGTCCGTCCGGGGGGGGGCGCGCCACGCAGTCCCGAGCTGAAATCCCCTTTCTGCGGCGGAAAGGTCAAATCGCAAACCAGGAGAGCTAATCGAGACGGCTCCTCAGCAGCCTGGCGTTGCCCGAGCCTAGCCCGTGGTGAAACCCACAAGACGCATTTTGGATCTCCAGAACTAATTTAATTTCGGGACGGCGGCATTCCGCGCTGGGAAAGGGGAGGTGGGAAAATTCGCCGGTGCGAGGACGAGGCGTGATCCGCGCAAGTTCGCACAGAAGCAGCAAGTCGGGTGTGTTTTTAATTTTGGATGATAAATTTGAAGGAAAAAAAAAACACACACAAAAAAAAGTTTCCGGTACGAGACCAATCCTTTCAAGAAACAGTCGCTCACGGTCCCGAAGAGGATGGATTCCGATACTAGTCCACAGAGCTGAGAGACCCCGGAGAGACCGAGGTGCTAATTTGCGGACGTAACGAACATTGCTCCATCAAAACTCTCTGAAAACCCCTGAAAGATGCTCCCCTCCACCCCGTGTGAGACACGGCGGCGCTCCATCGCTGTCGCTGTCCGGTGTGAATCAGCCCCGAGTCCCGCAGCTGTCCCGAGCCGGGCAGGAGAAACGCGCCGCTCCGCCCGCCCGTATTTATAGACGGAGAGAGACTCCTGGCACCTCCGCCGCTGATCCGGGTGGGATTATGGCCCGGGCGCGGTGACGGAGGGCGGGCGGCTGATGCCTGCCTCATCTGATTGTTAGGCTTAGAGGAGGGATAGACTGGCTGTCGGGAGCAATTGTTCACACCGCGCTGGCTTAATGCCGCCGCAGATCCCAGCCGGGGGGCATGGCGGCTGCCCCCCCCCCGGCTCGTCCTGGCCTCAGACCGTCGGGAAGCACGCCACAGCTGGCGAAAGACGCTTCAGCCCCTCCTGGATTGGAACTGGGTGCCCCCCCCCAGTTCACCAGGAGGAGGTGGCACAGCGCTCGGAAGCTCCCATCCCCACCCAGGAAGTGAGCGAGGGCAGCAGAGGGACGAGGTGAAGGATGTGGGTCCAGT